ACACTAACTACAACTACATACATATATATATATATATATATACACACTACACACACACACACACACACACACACACACACATATATATATATATATATATATATATATACACTCTCTCACACACACACACACACACATATATATATATATATGATCGTTCACTTCAAGGATCTATAATCGATCGAAATCAACTACGTATTACTCCGAGGTGCATCTGATTATCTTTTGAATATGTCTAGTTCTTCTGACACCCTTAATCATGGCATATGAATGCATTGGCTGATTTCACAAACTGTAATATAGGAGCAGAAATCGCACTGAGAAGGCGACATCCAAATTCATAGCACAAAAATCTCTTATCTACGAGTGTTTTCCATTAACACACACAACACATCCAGATAAATATGAACTGTATATCTGATTATACAGACCTTGATTTCGCACGTATAAAATGTCCTACCTGATAGACGGATATTAACTCCCTCGGGGGATAACAGAATTGTGCCCTTCAGCTGGGGTGTTTCTGCCTGGTGATAGTCCCTTATACTTTGTCGGAGGGTAGGTAAGTCGTCTAGTTTCACAAATAGATAGCCACTGCTGTCCACTATAGGTTCATCCGGTCGCTCAATAGTAACGGAATCACTGTTCTCCATCTTAAGGGTTTTCTGTGATCCAGCCTTCTCAGCGCCTTTAACTTGTTTACGCTTCATTTGGTTCGCATTATCTGGCACCGCATCTGCTATAGAAGTCATTGTAGACGCCATTGTAGACACTCACAACTCACAACTCACAACTCACAACTCAAAAGGTTATGCACACTATTGACCTGAACTCGAGTTCAGAAGTCTCAGAACTACAAGTTCTTGAAAATAGATTTTATACCATCATATCGTATGTAGCCTCGATTCGGAGAAGTAAATAGATCGGATCTTTCCATATCCCCATGTGAATTATATTTTTGGAAAGAAAAAGTCGTTCGAAAGCGATGACCATTATTTTCAGGGTTCGCTCGATTTGCGACATTTGTCTATGTAGTAAATCAATTTTTGTACTGAATTCTGTCGAGAGAACATGTCCAGCAGAAGCCATTGTAATTTGACACTGTATTTTTCACTTGTATCCTCTCGTGTACATTTTTTTTGCGGTGAAAAATGTCAATTCAAAACAAAGATCGGAACAGAAGTGAAAATTAATAGAGTCCAAAGTGTTATGAGAGATCGTTTGGCTTCGGACCCTCTTCAGTCTACTGTAGCATATATAAATGGAACGCGCTCTATAGCGCTAATCACATATACTTTGTCACCAAATAGTTAGTTCTCTTCGTTATCCACACTCCAGCAACCCTATTATAATACAGTATGATGTCTGTATGCCGTTCTGTATGCATGTTAGTCGCCGTGTGCGTGCTGCTGCTTGTCTCCGTCGCCGACGCAAAACTGAAGGAAGGAGAGTGTGATGGTATGTGATACAATATGTCAGTACACGCCAGGAAAATGTGTTAAATCTGTTTCCACCAGGTATACTTCACGGATTTTGCAACAAAAGCCTAGCTTCCTGCGAGAGTACCTATATCCACACACCGATCGCAAAAGATGTGTCAGTACATTATAGGATAGTCTGTTGTTATCCGTGCAATATGCTGCATGCTGCTCTGCTTCTGCACCCACCACTGTCGTCGGGGCGAATAGCTTGACTAGATATAAATCCTATGTATATATTATAGGTGGTAGTACATGTACCTAACCGTGTCTGAGTGTGGATATCCGCGTCAGAATTAGTGGTGAGTGCGTGTACCTTTATGTATCGGCTTTATTTGTATGCGCTAGTACTGGCAGTCGTACCCAACCTTGCCCAAGCGTGGATTTGTAGCGTCTGAGTGGATGAATTTTAAGACAACGACTGTATATGTATGTGCTATAGGTGATGGTATTCGTACCTAGCAGTATCGTTATATGGGTATTTTGTGTCATAAAGTCTCGCGAGTTATTATATTATTCGATTCCTCGACCAAAAATAGCGATGTTTGATGGGCGTCCACTGTGGTATCAAATTCACTTTTTACTGATTTTGCAATATGATGTATCATTTCCCCCGAATATTTTGGCCAAGAAGTTGTCGGTCTTATAGATTTACATTCAGCGCTTCAAGCATCATTTTGACTTGCTTAATCCTTACACCCTGCCTATATTGTATCAACTGCAGTCTGCATCGGAAGTTTGACAAAGCTTAAATCCGAAGTTACAAGTGAGCAGAAGAAAACAGTGGACAGTTACGAAACCTACATAAAGGAATGGTGTGAAGCGCATCCCCATGGAAACAAGGAAGAAAGATTTGTAAGTCGACTGTTGATTGTTGGATTGTTCGCCTGTCAATTTTATGTAGAATGCTACTCGTCGACATAAGTGGGTGCTACTACTTCTATATATATATATATATATATAAATATAAAACACACACACACAATATATATATATGTATAAAACACACAAACACACACACACACAATATATATATATATATATATATATATATATATATATATATATATATTTGCGTATGTATATACGTAAATATATACGTATATGTATATGTATATGTATATATACAAATATATATACATACATATATATATATATATATATATATGCATACACACACTCTACTCTCTCTCACACACACAAACACACACAAACGCGCGCAAACACACATACACAAACGCACACACACACAGACGCGAGCAAACACACATACACAAATACACACACACACGCACTCACACAAACGCACACACACACACACACACATATATATATATATATATATATTATATATAGACACATATATACGCATACATATATATGTATATCAAATATATACATATACATATATATATGTATTATATTATATTATATATATATATGTATTTGTATTTGTATCTATATATTTATATATTTATACATTTTTCTTCTCGTTCATAACCGTAAGGGGCAGCATTCTTTTTGCATAACCGTACGGAAGACACATTTACTTGATGCAATGTATTAATGCACAAAATCACGCGCGTGTCTCTGCAGTGTCTGCGACAACCATTTATCGATTTGATTTGAATACTTACACATGACGGAGTGACTTGCATGATGTCCATCTCGAGCGAAGTCGGGTTGACAAACGTATTCATGAATGGAAATTCAAAATCTCTGCTGCACACAAACTTCAAAGACGAGTTTCAATTTAATGTATATTGCTTTGTTGTATGTATATATATCATCTGTTGCAAGATGCTTTCAAGTGGCATAAAGCGCAAAGCTCATATACATCACTGTTAGCTCTGTCCTCTGCACACACGCACTTACCCACGAATAATGTCTGGGTTGGGAAGATATTTTTGCATTTATTCTGTCACGTTCGATACCTTGGAGGACAAATCCAAAGGTTGTGATCTTCTACTAGGATTGCATTATTATGTAAAAATCAAAAGGCAGCCATCGTATGCTTGGTTGAGTAAATTTTGCTTCATACTGTCCCATAATAAGCGTATCAATATGTGCACAGGGTCTCTGCGTGTATATGATGGCAATACAACCGCTTTTGCGTACACGCACCATAAACGTCTACATGGGTGATTTTCCGATACCCCTTCGTTGAGGTACAATTAAAACTCACACATAGGCATATCAACTACAACTCGTATTTGAGGGGCATTTTCTACACGAGCTTCCGCTCATCAGCAGTGAAATGTTTCTATCAGGCATTCAGTACATTTGCGTTTCCCTTTACCGCACCACATTCCATCTTATTGGAGTGTGTTTTTGCGAATACTCGCAACGCTACGATGTTCACTTATCACAGGCGACTTCTTATTCTTATTTCTCTAAGTATTCTCAGTTATGAAATTTCAATATACGGACCATCGTGTGCTCATGCGATTGCCTCCCCTTCCTCATTGCCACAGTGCTATCTCATCGGTGGGTTGGAGGCCAGTGCAACTAAGACGATTAAGGATGTGTCTGTACCTCTACACAACAACCTACCGCCAGCCCGTATCTGCGAGAAGCTCAAGAAGACCAACTCGGCCATCTGCGAGCTTGCTTACGGTATGCACGGTCGTGTGCTATGGGCAGAGTTATCTTTGGCATATATATATCACCCACCAGATAATCTTCTTCGTGGCTTAGGCTGGCCAACTTGCATATACGAATGCCCTAACTGACGCAAATGCATAAGACGTGACATGTTAATTACAGTGATGCTATTGCAGTGTCATTAGGTTGTGCCTGCGCTGTGGTGTCATGCGATGGGGCTATTCTTTGGGGAATCTATGCGTATTGTAGTCGCGATACGCTCCTAATTCTGCTGAATGTCTCGTGTTTCCCCTGACGGAGTACGATGACGTTGTGCTATTTCGTTACAGGGCTTCTTCTTCGTTTCACCTTATAATTATTTATACAAGTGCGTTACTGCTTTATTGCGGGTTGCTTGATTTGATCAAAATACTTTGATCAAATGTATTAAAGTATTGTTTAGCACATCGTCTATCGTCTCCTTACCATATCATTATTATGTAATTATCTCACTGCAGACAAGGAAATCGATCTGTCGAACCCAGCCAAGCTGAAGATCAAGGAGCTGAAGAAGGTACTTGCCAACTGGGGCGAGAAGTGCAACGGCTGCGCCGAGAAAGCTGACTTCGTGAAGATGGTCAACGATCTGAAGCACAAGCACACCGAACTATAAATAGCGCAGCGCTTTAGTCCTGCTTCGTGGGGCGTAAGGACGACTGCGGGATTTTGACGTCTGGGAGAAAACGGAGACATGAATGTAGTTGCATCGTTCATGCAGTTGCTTGCTAGTTTGCCATATTGCATGGACGCTGACTTGCCTAGCCATGGTGGCGATTGTTCCACCACGAATTTAAATTGCGGTTAATAAAAAAACAATCGAGCAATATCGTTCTGCAAATGTGCTTTTGTTACTTTGAATACGCTTACTTATTCATGTTCAATTTCGCGTATGCTTGTTGTCACTTGAAGTTGTCAGGAAAAAATTCAAGCAAGTGCAAGATGTGTGGTGCAAAATATGTGGTAAAAGAGGTGCTCACAAAATAAAACCAGCCAATATAAACACATTACTGATTGCGGCGATGCGCAATGGACATTTATGAAAGCTGTATGTTAAATGATACCTTAAAGATATCCTAATTGGTTCTGTCAGCTCATTTAGTGCAACTGATTCTTTGAAATCCTTCGATCCTTAGGAAGGCAATTTGTCGTTAAAATATGCGTAGTATTTTCAATCAGGTGGTTTAAAACCAGAAACCTGTCTCGTGATAAACATCTTAATAGTATCACTGCAATGTGCAACGGTTTCAAAACGGAAGCAGAAATACATCATCCTTAGTGCCAAGGCAGAAATACATACTGCGGTACATAGGATACAAGCGGAAATGTATCACCTGCCGTTTTTTCAAAAAAGACTGAGCATAGTCTACTCTGTATTATGGGTTTAGCCACGAATTCGCAAATTCTCTTTGAATAGTCTATTATATTAGAAAGCATCGGATAAAGAATGGACAAAAATACTGCTAACACACTGGCTCAAAATCTCGTACACACAGCAGCAGTATATATATCCCCTGGTTTGGGCGACAAATTACACAAAGGCGACATTCACACCCAAACCTGCTTTCAGAATACATCCCAGGTGAGTCCCAGTATACACAAGTGTCACCAACAATCAGTGTATCTTCGTGCCTCATAACAATACTATTGTGAAGTGATGCCGTTGAGGTCTACATCCCTATAAGGAATATAAGAAGACCTTGAAGGATATATATATATGTTCTCCCGAAGTACATTCGTCACTGTCTCACTTTGTGAATGGTCACTCTGCAGATGTAGATTCACAGCCCAAATTATGGACACTAATAAAACATCCTATATTGACACGACACATCGAGAGAGTACTACAATTTGCCGATAGTCACAAAAATTTCGTGCTGAAGTAGCTGCTTATACATACTGAGAGGGAGATACAACAGTATAGGTTGTTAAAATGGCTTACCAGCTTTGCAAAACCTTTTTATCATAGCCCTTTGTTCGAAATAGCAGAATATTTTTTTATTAATCGAATTTAATTTTAATAGCACAGTACCCAGTCACGTTAGGTGCTCGATACTTGTGATTAGCTCTTTGCAGAAGAAACACTCCTTCGAATTCAGCAGGTGCCGAGTTATACACTGGTGACACGACTGGTGCCTGCACGGCAAAAACGTTGCACTGAGCGGATATGTGTAGCAAATCGAGCACGTGTCCTCGTCATCTTCATCCTCTGCCAATCCTTTGGCCTCCAACTGCACCCGCGCGTCATTCAGGTCACTAATAAACGAGCGTAGTTTGTCTGCATCCACGGTTGCATGGGCTCCATGTTCGCTGCTATCCAGTAATGGATCGACTTGTATACCACCGGGTGTACTGTACCCACCATCCTTATGCGAACCATTTGAAGCTACCACCCCGACGTCCATAGCATCCTCATTCGATGGCTCATTCTCATCGACCTGGCCATAGGCCGAGCCGGTATCTAATCGGACTTGCAGGAGACCCGCTAGTGTCTTGGCGAAAGCTGTATCGTACGTGACGATCGCATCGATGATACTGATGGACTTGGGGTCTTTACCACCGCCTGTAGCTGCCGACGTATGCATATTCAGCAGACATCGGACGACGACTGTGAAAATGGTCTCCTGATTGAGCTTCAGAAGCGCTGGGAACTGAATAGCCACAGAGAAAAGGGAAGGTATAGAACAAAAATATTTAGCGCAAGTCCAAGCAAGAGTTCTGGCGAAGCGAGCGTTAACCGCGGAAGTACAGAATTGATATTGAAAAGCCAATTCGAGTGCCCTGCGGGTAACGAAATTGGCATTTCACAAACCATCGGACGATCAGTGCAGGTGTGCAAATCAGCACAAACCCATATATCCACACAGCTCCCCATCACATCGAAAATGAAGAAATCTAACGTTGCCATTACATACAAACGAGAGAAAACATTAACTCTCAAATACTCTTGAACGTTGATTCAACACCGAACTACTCACTTGATTTACTATCACTGCTTTGATATCCGGGTCCTCGAGTCCTTCGAAGCGGATCGCGCGGCTGATCAGTTGGGCCACCAATTCCACCAGTTGAATCGTCGCCACACCGCCGATAGTGGTGAAGACCGATGTGGCATCGCGCGAGGTCATCTCCAGTAGGCGGAACAAACTCAGCGTCAGCTCGGAGAACACCATGGATCGCTGGGTCTGTTCCTGCAGACTTCGGCAGTCCTGCAGCTCATAGTACTGGCCTGTTTGCAGCCGTTTCATGGCCTGGGGTATTGCGAGGACGAGTCGCAGGCACGAGACATGATAAGCACACTATGATTACAGACATACAAATAATTGATACATCATGCGAATTGTTGTGGATACTGATGAAGGTGCAGGAGTTAGACTACACGTCACAAGCAATCCGATAGACACACACATGGCAAAGCAATGCTACGGCCACTGCCGAGGAAACATACCGATTGGAGAGAAACGCAGAGTTCCGATACAGCCCAATTGCAGTGATTAAATGTGTGGTTGGCAAATTCAACAGCCAAGGCTGAGTTAATTGTAGATAAATGCAGTGGTTTGATTTTGTGAGCGCGCGCGTAGTCATGCTTCATAGATAAATGATTCTGTCTCTGAGCAGGATACCAATTGAAGTACTTATGTTACCTCTGATCTTCGGTAAACCGACGCAAATCAAAATACAATCGGACACAGAAGGTGCTAAAATGGTGAATGGCAATTGTAAAAGTAGAAAGTATCTATAGTAACAGCAAAAAGAATACCTGGGGTGTTTGCGCACGTTTCCGCGAAACAAGTCTGGTATACAGCACTCTCACAGCTTTGTTCGCTGTCTATCCATTCATCGAGGTCTGACATGGTTTCTCCCTGCGAGGGAGTGTTTATTTTTGAGTGTTCCAAACGAGTGAGTAAGAAACTATGACCCTTAAGTGTGAACTGGCTTGCTATTCGTATTCAACAATGCCACACATCGGAATGAACAATAGTTCCATTTCAAACGGACTTTAACAATCACATTGATAAGAGTCCAAGCGAAATAAACGGGGAATGCAAATCAACTCTGGTAGCACGAGACAGGGCCATCATTGGCATGATTCAGCGTATCGAAATTGACCCTGTAGGCACCAATAATGATTTTTCCTTCACCGAAATATTTCACCATCCCATGTGCTCGAGATACATCTTATGGCTCAAACTCTACCCCATTGAATTAATTGGCGTTCATTGCGTTCATTTCCGTGTTTTGAGTTTCGTCTGAAGCGAATCACATGCTGTGAAGTAGGAGGTCACTAGTGTACCGAACAGACAACCCTAGAGCAGATTCAACCGACACTGTGACTCGCATAGTAGAGTTGATGGACGTACGCAAAATGTAAAAAATATTAATAGTCACGAGCTGTGAAACACGATCAGGCGAGTATATTACTTACGAAGTAGAACCGAATGAATATAGGCGTTATCAGTATCCAGAGCCGCGTTTTGAAGCTTTCCAACATTCGTTTGACCAACAGCTGAAAAGTGATTGGGTCAATTAAACGATGACACGATTGAGCGAGCAAAACGAGGGTAGCTGATTGGAATAGCAAACATGTGATCTCAACTGAAGCCTGGATGCACGAGTGTATGTGTACGCAGTCAGAACGAAGGACAAGACAAGGTCTTGGCATACCTCTCGCATCACTTCATCCCGCTCACAGAGCTCTCGATAGCCGCTTCGGCTTAGACTGAACCCTATACACTTGAGCATCATCTCCCTCAGACTAGGTGATGTAACCGGACTATTTCTGAAGTTGAGAGAATACCGCAATAGTATGCGCGTGCAGTCGGCCACCCTTTGGTCTTGAATTAATGTGTGCCCAATTGAAGAGGCCAGTGCTCTGTACGAGCTGATGCTGCACTCGGCGTATATCTCAGGAATGTATGTAAAGAACCTACTCGCCGACAACTGCGTCAGGGATGGGGTGTAGGAATATGTACAGATTGATAATAGTCTCCACTTCGGAAGCTGGTTTTGTTTGAGAGGACTTTGACAACTGCAAGTTGAAATATACAATTTAACAGCCTGATGATACTAATTTCGTACCGAATGAGAACACTATCGTTTGCAATGTACCTCCATGATAAGCTGGGTGGAATATAGCTCTCATAACAACACAAAAAAGTAGACATACAAATAGAGAAACATCCAACGACGCACCTTACCCCAAAAGTATCAGAGCCGGCATAGCTCCTCCCGCACCAGAACAACACTGAAACATAGACGTATAAACAGAGATGCATGCAACTCACCTTGCCCAGCAGTGTCAGGAGATGTGTATAGAAGTAAATCGCGCCGGCCCTCCTCGCGGGATGCAGCAACAGATCATGCTGCCAGCTGCGCATTCGGAGGTGTTTGGAGATGTCTTTCAGCAACAGAGTGTCAGCGGCCGCCCAGTAAGTCTTTGGCGGAGATTCATCGATGCTTGTGTGGTCTGAGCACGCACAGCAGCAACACGCAGAGGGCGTTCTGTTGTTGTTGTCGTTGTTGGTAATTTTGGTGTTGTTGCCATTGCTGTTGCTGTTGTTATTACTGTTGCTCTCGCTTGGATTACGGGAAAGAGATTGCCGTAATTTATGCAGCTTGGCTAAGGTGACGTTTATGTATTTGGTGTTGCAGTCGATTTGTTGATATCGTCCACTCACGGCGTGCTGTAAGGTGAGTGCATATTCGAAGGTTTAAAAGTATTCATGACTCAGGCACAAGGTGACAAACGAGCACTCTGAAGAAGAAAGAGATGGGCGCGAATTAAACGTACATTTGAATTCTCATCGGGGGATATATATATTCTCCCTCAGAGTTTCATATGCTCTAGGTACAGCCAGGAGAATGATACTTGAAATGATAGCAAGCCCGTAAAAGGCGAATTCCCTTCAAAGGTAAATGTCTTGCAATATAGTTAAAATATTTCATCCTCAGATATATATACAAAGTAACAAATCACAGCGAGAATAGATAATACTTTCATCAGCCACACCGATAGACCTGCAACCCAGCCGCGAAAGTACAGCATATCAAGCTTTTTACATCTCGAAATTAAACTAAGGACGTCAATATATTGTTCCTACTAAACAATCATAAACTTAGCAATAAAGGCGACTCAAGTAAAACTAAAATGAGGGTACGAAAGAACCCAATTCTGGCATCAGATACGCTGCCCAACGCAGGCAGATGATCCCAAATCAGTACCAACACAGAACTGACAGTCTCTTTACTCACCTGGAAGAGGACAACTATGATATGCAGTATCAGGACTTTCCAGTCCACTTTCAGGTTCGTTTCACCGTCTGCATCTGACCGCGCGTGAGCTGGTTTGTGCGATCGTTGTATGGACAGGCCACTGCCACTCCTTGTGCTCCGTAACGGGTCGGGCTGCTGAGAAACGAATGGTGGGATTAGGATATGAAATTTAACAGGATACTGTGCACTGAGGTCAAGTGCAATATTAAAAGTCATGTGGAGAAGTGTTGTGCCAAGCATATATAGTTTACCTTCGATGTCAAGTTTACGTTTATATCACTGAAAGCAGCACCTAGAATGCATGTACAACTACAGACTGAACTTGGGGGGCGTAGACACATTCAAATTGGAATCGCACCAGACGGAAAAAGGGACATGCATATATTGACACACATCGCTTTGGCTGACATATTTGTAGTCGTCACTCGCAAGTTTATAAACGCCTGACATTTTCTGTGAATATTGGAAGCATGCTAGTTCACAAAATATCTGCCGTCATTCACTCATTTGTGAGAGTATTCAATGACAAGTCTTTCCGTATAGGGCGTCAACTACGACAAGCCATTCGCTTACTTCGAGTCCCTTAACCCAAAGTGCACATTTGTACATGCAAAAAAACAAATCCCTTTGCCTTTCCCCAACCAATTCCACTATACTATACGCCGATGACGCCCGAAACCAAACCCAAGCAACCATGAAACTTGGATATACTTGCCAATAAACACCATGCATATACTTACCTCGTCCATCATGGCATCGTCCTCCTCGTCGTCGTCGCTGCCATCCAAATCCATGAGTTCGCTCTGGTCGTTGAGCTCGTCTGCATCCTCCTCCGTCTCCACCTCGCCATACTCTGTTTTGCGCACATGCTCGAAGCTGCCCCCAATCCGATCCAGATTCTGGAACTCGGGGATGTCCGACGAGAACGTGGCTAAGAGGTCAAGCGCCATCCCGGCTGTCTCTGTGTCCGTCTTAATACCGTTCGAGCTTGCTTCGCCCTCGGCGGTATAAGTAGAGTCCTTGTAGATGGTTAATAGTGCGAAGAACAGATTCTCGTCCAGAGACGAGTCGCTCAGCCCCGCCGCCACTACCGTCTCCGTGTGTCTGCGCCGTTTCATTAGCAAGCGCACATGCTCCTTCAACCACGCCACCATCACCGACTGTGGGCTGATGGGCGTCCGATCACTGTCTACCACAGAGGGCGTCAGAGCCGTTCGCGTACCACCACTGCTACTTGCACTGGCACTCGACCCTCGCCGTACGTTCGCAGCCGCACTCGCGGACCGTATCCTGGGCAGCGCTGGCGCCGACGTGTTGGCCAAGGCACGTCCGGGTGGCAGTACAGGCGAGACGGACCGTGCAATGGTGGCTGTGGCAGTGGCATCGTGGGGTGTGGGGGTGAGTGCGAACGCAGCCGCGAGAGTGCTCGTGGGTTGGGGGCTGAACGTCTCGCCAGACAGTGACGGTATGAGTTCGGAAGACGCTGGATCCATGGGCGGACTCGTTTGTACCGGGTCGTCGTCTGTGGGCGTGAACCCGATGCTGCGCCTCCGTATGGCGTCTCGAATCCGCTGATAGGCCCCGCTTGCAGAGGACACGGCCGAGGACAATAGGGCATTCTCGGGGTCTTCGCCTAGCACGGCGGGTTCGGCTAAGTAAGCTGCTGGGTCTGTACCGGCAGCTGTACGCAATGGCCCATCTAGCGGGCTTCCGGGGAAAGGGCTCATGTAGCCTGTCCTGCTTAGGGAGGAGACGGGTGTAGCTGCTGAGGGTGTGCCTTCCAACGAGCGGCGTTGTAGAGGTACCACAGTAGACATACCCAATGGAGCCATTAAAGGGGATATGGTGGTCATGGGGTGCGGGGGTGGTCTGTCCCGAGACAGATATGGCATGGGCGAGGACACATGAGGCCCGTTGGGAGTGGTGGCTGCACTGTTTGGACCCTGTCGCGACCAAGACTTGAAGTTGCGCTGGAACGAGTCGGCCAGCGGAGCATCGTCCATCAGGAACAGCTTGCACAGGCGCACCATGTGGGCATGGTGAATGTTGTGGTAGGTCTCTGCGTCCTGCTTCCACTTCTGCTGCGCGCGTTCTCGGGCGCACTGGCCCTCACACTGGTTGGCGCAAAGGGATGTGCCGTGTTGCCCTGTGAAGTGCAGATTGATCTCGTTGTCGGCGTCTCGCCTCAGCTTACATGTTTGAGATGTGCACACATCCGACGTGTAAATCTGCTGGAGATCGGCCGTGCTGGGTTGCCATGACGACAGAAGCCCCCCCAATATATCCTGGAAGGCTCGGCTCCGTTGAAGGATAGATAGTATGGTACGATTGCTCAACAGCCGCCACGCCAGGGCTAGTGCACCTATCGCTGTGTACTGTGCACTAGGCGACTGGTCTGTCTCAGTTAACATGTCTTCATCCGTCACTACCGAAGGCGCTCTATTAGCAACGTTTTGTGTGCTTGATGCATTACTACTGGCCTGGTCGGAGTCCTCGTCCCCACCTCCGTGTCCGCATGATTTCTTGTTCAGATAATTTTGGAATAAATCTGAACCGGACCTCGTCTTATTACTGCAAAAACAATAGAAATACTTGCATTTAACATCTGAGAAACTAGATTGGGGCGAATTCTGCACAACGCTAAAAGCCTCTGTCGATGTCGCGGCGTATGAGAAGGCCGATTACATATGTATTGAACTCGGTACTGGAAAGTGCAGTCTGTATCACAATGGCGAGTAGATCGACACGATATAAAATGAGCGTGTCTGAGTGGCGGTCGGCGAAGGATGTCATTCTGCGGGTTGCTACCTACAAACACATCTTTAGAGTACAAAACACACATGAATATATAGGCACAGATGTATGTATATACATACATATTCGCTTTTGAAGATGCAAGGTTTCCAAACAGAGACATGCGTAACATTTCAAACAAAAAAGCAGACATCACGACATTGAATAAGCTGCTCACTTTACCTCAGACATTTGAAGACACACTCCACGACCGCCCGCTGCTCCCCTTCATCTGCAAATACCAGGAAGTACTCGGTAAATTCCTGAATTCTGCTCTTTGCTCCCTCCGACTCCGCTATCGTCGACTGATCCTGTGTATTCTCTAGCAGGAAAGGTATCAACACACTCTCCACCACCACCGGCGACACCAGCAGTGGGATTAGCAGATTCATAATCTGGCACAGCAGAATGAACACATCGCGGTGAAACGGCTCTTGAATTGTTGATCGTATGGTGGAATGCGTAGGCGGGCTTCCCTTGGGTCCATCGCCTAGCAGCAGCCGGTTATAACAACCCATGAGATACCGTACAAATGCGACATCTCCTTGCGACGTGCCCAACTCCCTCTCACCAGCTTCACTATAGGAGCCCAGGTCCGTACCAGTCCAGGGCTCGCCCCAGCGGGAATGGTCCACCAAGTCCACAAAATCCGCTTCATTGACCCCCATCCTACCACCAGGCCCATTGCCATTGCCAGACATGAATGCCCTGCTACCGGCGGAATTCCGCTTCACCGCCGCCACCGAGGCCGTCTGTACTTGCAGAGGCCTGTACCCAGCCATGGGGTAGCGAAATGGCTTGTGGCCAAAGTTCATGTCACACTTCTCGAGATGTGACATGCTGAGAGCCGGGAAGAAGGCCAACCCTCGCTCGCCACACCGGATGTTACTGAAGGCTACGCCCAGAGACTTGCCATTCCTGCAGTAGGAGATCTGGAGGGAAAGAATCGTATGCGTGTCAGCGATGTAGATTCCCGAGAATACGCAGTAATCGGAAAGACTGCTTGAATATTCTGCAACTCTGTAGTAGGGTATATAACATGTATCATCTACCCTCATGGCAGATGGCAGAAATTAATCACTGTTGACAGCATACCTGGCCATTGTCGCAGTCCAGCATCATACCAAGAGTGTCTCCCTGCACCCAGGCCTCACCGTATGGTTCTGGCTTAACGTTCCATTTCTTTAGCCTGCAGCCATCGTACGAGAACGAATCGACCTCGTCCCCTACACCATGCTGTTTGGTATTGAGATTGAATTTCTGTGAATTTTGGGTCATGACCTACAGTCGAATTGAACACAATCGGAAACTGAGGTGCACACTAACTTTTGTGATTGCAAAACACTGCCCCAATTGGAATGAATACTACAAGTGTTGTACCAGTCTGAATCCCATGTACTGCTGGATAGGTACACTAATCCTGCAGGATATACACCGTACCTCGTTCGAGAAGATGCAATCGATGGTTGCCCAGCCAATCTGTTGTATACCTGAAGTGACAAGCGTCACTTCGTACATCCATTTCCCCTTGAAGACGCACACATTAGCGCGGAAGCTGAGAAATCGGCTCAGACTCTCCACCTTCAAAAAAATCAGAAGACGAAGAGAATATTTTAAAACAGTCGCTTCCTTTGTGGGGAGAAAGAGAAGATTTTACGATAAAGTGTACTTCTCGCAAGATCCAGCATTTGTTTATTCTTGCCAGAGGCAATTTTAGGGGCTGAGACTTGGGGGGCAAGGGGCTTCGTACTACTGCTTTGGAGCTCAGAATGAAAGCACGAACAAACACACCTTTAGCGTATTCATCACGGCACATGTGCTTCATAAAATAAACTCGTTTCACGGTTATATGTACGGATACGAAAAATAATAAACATATCACATACATAATGCAAAACGACTACAGAAACGCTCTATCAATATGTGTATATGAGAGCAATAAACAAACAAATCGGAACATACAAGTAAGTATATAGACATTCCATAACAAGTACAAATTCTTCATCTGACGATACATGTGCTGGAAAGTATACATGTCTAATTATAACCGGAATATGTGTGCATATATATAT